TTTTTTTTTTTTTTTTAAGGCACCCTGGTAGCTAGTGGTTATAAGTCAGGCTGTTAACCTCAATGACAGCAGTTCAAAACTACCAGCTGTTCCAGCAGAAAGATCAGGCTTTCTGCTCCCGAAAAGATTTACAACTTCAGAAACTCTATGCAGGGTCTCTATGATTCGGAACCAACCCTACAGCACACTAACACCACTACCACCACCACCACCACCACCAAGACCTAGGAGTCCTGGTGTGGTGCTCTGGGTTAATGCGCTGGACTGCAAAGTCACTTTTAACCTCAAGGTTGGTTCAAGCTCACCAGCTGCTCCTCAGAAGCCCTATGTAGGGTCACCTTGGGTGAGAACCAACTTGACGGCATTTAACAACAGCACTAAGGAGTCCCGGAATGGTGCTTTAGGTTAAGCATTTGACCTCAAGGTTGATTTGAACCACAAAGTTGGCGGTTCAAACTCACCGGGTGCTCCTCAAAAACTCTGTATAGAATTGCTGTGAGTTGGAACCAACTTGACAGCATTTAACAATAACACCAAGACTAAGGAGTCATGTTGTGGCACCGAAGGTAAATACTGGACCACAAAGTTGGTTTGAATTACAAGGTAGGCAGTTCAGATTCAACCAGCTATTCCTCAGAAACCCTAAACAGGGTTTTCTATGAGTCCGAACTGACTTGAAAGCACTTGACAATAACAACAAACAAAACTTAAGGGGAGTGTGGTGGCTCCATATGATAAGCACTGGACTGCAAACTACAAGGTCCGCAGTTTGAGCCCACCAGTTATCCATGGGAGAAAGATGATGCTTTCTGCTCCAGAGATTTAAATCCTCAGAAACCCTATGTAGGGAAGCTATGAGTTGAAACTGACTTGATGGCAATCATCTATTGATCGCAGTGATATATTTAAACATGTTTTGATTGGAATAAACCATACAAACTTACACCCTAGTAGCAATATTTTTGGACTTAACCTGATATATGTGGTTGGCTGTTGCCTGACTGGATATTGAGCAACACTTTCCTATATGTAAGAAAGCTATTGGACTATTTGTGCTTCCTTGCTTGTATAATCTACTCTTGATAGTATCTCAGAAGAGATTGATTTAAGACATTCCCTATACTATACTGACTTATTAATTAATACTCATTCCCAAATGGTCTTTTTATAACCACAGGTAGAGGAATTAGGATAAACAACACATATTGAGTAAGAAAAAAGTATTTTTTTTCTTTATTAAACAAAACTATTGTTTTTGTTTTGTGTGGGGTTTTTAAAAAACTTTTTATTGTGAATGAGTAAAGATTTACAGACAAGATCATCAGTTTTACATTCAGCAAATCATACACTGGGTTTCATCTCAGTGGTTACAATCCCCTCCATACAAAAACTTTCCCCACTTACTCCTGTTGCTTCCTATTTCCATTCCACCCTCCTTCCTATTCTTAACTTTGTCCTTAGGTAAATGTTGCCCTTTTGATTTTGAATGATTGACACAATTCCAGGGCAATTCCAAGACTTGTCTCACTAGTGTTGTCATCCCGCCTATCTACTGCTTGGCTGAAAATTGGGCCAGGAGGGTGAATTCCTTTCCAAACCTGAAAGGTGATCAAGGGCCATAATCTCAGGTTCCTCCAGTCTCTTTCTGACCAGTAAACACTGTCTTTAAAAAAATAATTTTGAGTTTTGCTCCACATTTACCCCACTCTATCTGGGACCTTCTAATGGGATCCCTTTCAGAGCGATTGGTAGTGGTAACTGGGCACCAGTTAGTTTTTCTGGTCTTAGAGTCATGGAGACTCATGTTCAGATGTTTCATTAGTCTATTGGGCTAATTGATTCCAAGACTCTTCAATTTTTAATCATTCTTTTTTTTGCACATGGAGAGACAATAGCTATACCTTAGGTGACCACTCAGTCAGAAAGAGACTGGAGGAGCCTGAGATTAAAAGTTACATGTAGAACATTGTCTTTATGGACTATGCTGAGTCCCCAGGTCCAGCAACTCATTGCCTTAAGATGTTTTATTATATCTAAGAAGTTTTCATCATTTTGCCTGGTGTATGCTCTACAACATTCATAATTGTGTTTGTAGGAAAGGTAAATACTCATGTACAAATACCTGCTTTCAAACATATATATATATATATGTATATATATATTGTTGTTGTTATGTGCCGTCGAGTCGGTTCTGACCTATAGAGACCCTGAGCAGGGTTTCTGAGGCTGTAAATCTTTATGGGAGCAGAAAGCCTCATCTTTCTTCCGCAGGGCAGCTGGTAGTTTCGAACTGCTGACCTTGAGGTTCACAGCCTGATTCGTAACCACTACTCTACCACAGCTCCATATATATATATATTCCCACTCTTCTTCTCATTCCTATTCAGCCTGTGTCTCTGTCCATATACGTACCCACAGAACACTGTTATTCCAAGGCTGTGTATATATCACTATTTACCTCTATCCCTTTTAGCCCTTGCATACCTTCCTATATCTTTACTTGTCTTCATCATTCTTCTGCCAACCTCCCTTTTCTATATTGCCTTCCCATCTCCTGAGTTAACATGTGTACACTCTCTAGCCTGTGAATTTCTCTCCCTTCCCTCCTACCCCTGGTAACCATCAAAAAATGTTCCTTTTGGTATGAAAACCCTTTCTTGAGTTTTCATAATAGTGTTATCATACAATATTTGCCCTTTTAAGATTGACTAATTTCACTTAGCATAATGTTCTCCAGGTTCATCCATGCTATAGCGTGTTTCTCAGATTAATCATTATTCTTCAACATTATATAGTATTCTGTTCTGTGTATGTATCAAAATCCATTTTTCCATTAAAGGGCATTTAGGCTGTCTCCATCTTTATGCTATTGTGAACAGTGCTGCACTGACATAAGTAGATGAATGCATCATGTCCTGGCTCTTATTTCTTGTGGCTATATACCAAGTAAAGGGATTGCTGGGTCATATGGTATTTGTTTCCAGCTTTATGAGGAAGCTCCATAGCATTTCCCACAGTAATTGAGCCATTTTATAGTTCCACCAGCAATGTAGGAGGATCCCAGTCTCTCCACACCCTTGCCAATATTAATGTTGGGGTGAAAGGAAATCTCATTGTTTTGATTTGCATCTCTCTAATGGCTAATGGTTACAAAACTTCTTCATATGCTTGTTGACTGCCTGAATGTATTCTTTGGTGAAGTATCTGTTCATATTCTTTGTTCATTTTTAGATTGGATTGTTTGTCTTCTTCTTGTAGTAATGTTGTAGTTTTCTATAAATTTCAGAAATTTGGACTTGTATATTTATTTTGTAAATATTTTTCCTTGAAACTATCAAAGCTATATTCTCTTTTCGGCTTTAATTAGTCTTTGGCTACGTGCTCTGCTTCCTCTTGGCCCTGCACTTGCTGCAGATCTTGCACAGGGCTTTCTCACAGCTCCTTTTTTTTTTTTTTTTTAAAGTTTTTATTGTGAATTGAGTGATAGTTTATATGGAGAACATCAGTTTTACACTCATAGTTTCATTGCAATGATTACAATCTTCTCTGTGCATCATCATTCAACAGTATTTGCTTCTATTCCCTCTGTTTTGTTTTTTGTTTTTTTAGGATGTACACAAAAACACTCAGGAATATATAACAATGTAAACACCAAAAGGCACATTCTGCAAGCCTGCCTCCTGGCCGCCAGCACACAGCCTTTCATGAGTGTAGAGTATTCAGCTGCTCCCTCTCCATGTCCTCATCTCTGCCTCCATCTCTGGAGCTACTGCTTCTCTGGATAGGGTTTCACATTCCACTCATGCTCATCTCCCTTGGGTCCTAGGGTCCTCTGTTCCTGGATTGTAAAATTTAACTACTCCCCCATTTTTGTTACAAAACTTCTACCTTTACGGTTGTGACAATCATATTTAGTCATGATAACAGTTACTATTGAATTATAAGAATCTTATCCCCCATCTCCTTTTACCAGACTCATTTAGACAAGATGAAACCTATTCAGTGGGGATTCTATCTTCCTCTGCACACTCTTGAAACTAAACTCCTTGAAAATTTGTAAGCCAGTTACCGTACCTCCCCCTCCCCCCCCCCAATTTTAGGTAGCCAGTGTTTAAGTTGCCCATCCCTATCAACCCTGTGTACTCAGGGGATGGGAATGATCTTTGATGTCTCACAGTTCTTTTTAGGGATTACTCTTACCTGGCCTAATCCCTGAGCTCCATATCTGAGATGGGAACATCTTCTTGACCTTCTCCTGGCTCTGCACAGGACCCCTATCCAGGCACTTAGGAATATGAATGCAATTTCATGTTTGCTTTTTCTTAGCTAGGCTTCATGATTTGCTAGGGCTTGGAATGGTGTTGGTTCTCAGTAGATATTTGTTAAGGAAATTAGTGAATGACCAAAATATTTGCCTCTTTCTTTTTAGACCTTCTAAATAGTTTTATTGTAAATGATCTTGTATTTTAGAGAACTCATCTTATTTCCCAACTTTTCTGTTGATCTTTGTATGCTAGTCAGTGTGTCTGTACTTTGTGATAATTTCATCTAGCTTTACTTCATGACCTCTTCAATATCTCATGCTCCAAATATTTATTGATTTGACAGTGAAGTCTTTCATTGGTCTAATACAGTCATATAATGACCACTTCCACACTTGCTTTGTAGTCACCTGTGGCCTGCTAAGTCTGTTGATCTTAATTTTGCTGTTTCTGACTTGATGCCAATCTCCTCATTCCCAGATTCAGGCTTCTTCTGGAGAAACCAAATACACTGGTGCCTTGGATTGTGCAAAGAAGCTGTACAAAGAGGCTGGGATTAGAGGCATCTACAAGGGGACTGTGCTGACCCTCATGCGAGGTAACTTTTGACCTTCGGGCGGGGGGTCATATGAGGTGGGTCTGCTACAGAGGTTCGTGTCTAGGTCTCCAGGCTGACCTTGGCACCATACATGCCACAGCTCTGGCAAAATTGGTAGTCAGTGTGTGTCCTGGCATTAGGTTGCCTTGCCTCTTGCCAGCATGGACACAGATAAGCATGGGCAGGGTGAGCCATTCATGCTTTTGGGGGGTGGCTTGCAGACCCTCAAAGGTGGATGCCATTTCATTAGCAGTTGCAGAGAGTGGCAAGGAGATAGAAATTGAAACTGGAAGGATGAGTAGAAAAAAAAAAAAATGACTTAGGAACAGTTAGGCGTTCCCTGGATTTGAGTGGCATGTCATGCTGGGGTAGGGGTGGGAGAGACAGAGATAGCCCCACCTTTGTCCTGAGTTAGCAGCTTAGAGACCTAGTGTATGTGCTGTTGTTGTTAAGTGCTACTGAGCCAGTTCCGACTCATAGCAGCCTTATATAGGGTTTCCAAGCAGTGGCTTGTGGGTTTGAACTGTCGACCTTTGTGATTAGCAGTCCAGTGCTTATCCTACAGGACTCCACCACATGTACTAACTTTGTCTGTAATTCACTAGAAATGAGCATGAAAGTGGGGTTCACTCAGAGGGGACCTTTTAGCTGAAACGATGTCATGCATATTGTGCTTACACAGTGTTCTGAAGATGAAATTGGGTCATAGGTGTTTGTGCTCAGTAACACGAGTGCCCACCCCAAGCAGCATTGGTAACTGTAAAGTGATTATTACACATAGAAAGTAGCAATTGAGGAACTTCTCAAGAAGCCTTGAAGGATCCAGGACCAACCTTGGGTTCTTCTAACTTTAGGAAATTTGTGGGGATTTTATATCCTTTAATTGATTTCTTTCTTGTTACTAATAGATGTTCCAGCTAGTGGGATGTATTTCATGACATACGAGTGGCTGAAAAATATCTTCACTCCAGAGGGAAAGAGGTGAGTAGAGCAGAAAACCTTACAAACCACGTTCCCTGATCCTGGTGGATTGCCCTCTCCTGTGGATGGGTCTGAGGGCAGAAATGGGACATGCTCCTGGCACCAGGTTCACTTTCCTGTCATGGCTGCTGAGGTCCAGTTCACACCTTCCAGTTTGTGCTTCATCTAATGGAGAAAGTATATGAAATAGACACATGAAACTTCCTCCAAGAGCGGCAGCTGCTAGGTCATGGGAGCCCTGGCCTTGGGCCTTCTTCTTCCAGCCAGTTTCCCTCTCTGTAACTGCCCTGTGTGCCATAGGAAGGATGGTCTGAAGCAACCCCAGAGCTTTTGTCTGAGCTGGGCTTGTTACTGTTGTTCCACAGTGTCAGCGAGCTCAGTGCACCACGGATCCTGGTGGCTGGTGGTATTGCAGGGATCTTCAACTGGGCTGTGGCGATTCCCCCAGATGTGCTCAAGTCCCGCTTCCAAACTGGTGAGGTGGATGTGTATTGGAGTGGTCCCAACACTGGCTGTTCTTGGGGTGCAAAGCTCCTAAGACCCTGGGGGATTATCACTGACCACACATTATCCAGCATTTGTCTGGCCCACATTGTGTTCTAAAAACTCTAGAGTAATGTTCATGTCAGCCTAAACACAAAATAAGTGATATAAGAAGTCAAATCTGCTCTTCTTCTGCATGAGTGGAGTGGAATGGTTGTTTCATTATTTCTCTTCCCTGTGTCCTCAGCACTAGTAATCCAAGCATTTGTGCCTGCTTGGCCCAAAGTGTACTGTGTTGTGTGGGACCTGGTCCCAGGATGACCCACAAGTTGCTGTCTTTGTAGTGCTGTGACCCTACAGGAAGTCCCCATGTGGGGACTTACTCAGGAAACTTCCTAAGGTTTTAACAACTGGGTTCTGCTCCACAGCCCCTCCTGGTAAATATCCTAATGGTTTCCGAGATGTGTTAAGGGAGCTAATCCGGAATGAAGGAGTCACTTCCTTATACACAGGCTTCACTGCTGTGATGATCCGAGCCTTCCCAGCCAATGCAGTAAGTGGTTGGCAAGGGCTGTGCTTTCCTTTTAGGGTAGGGAGCAGGTGGGCTGGCTTTTACTCACTCCTGGTATTGGATTAAGGCGCTCTGGTGACACAGTGGTTAAAGGGCTTGGCTCCTCACAGAAAGATCAGCAGTTTAAGTTTAGCCATGCCAGCTGCTCGGTGGAAGAAAGATGCAGCAGCCTGTGGCTGTAAAGATTTATAGCTTTAGAAACCATATGGAGCAGTTCTACTCTCAACTGTAGGGCTGCTGTGAGTCAGAATCAGCTGCCACAGAAGGTTTTGGTTTTGGGGATTGGATTCCCTAAATACTGCCCTGAACCAGAGCCTCCTTTTTTGCTTTTTTTTTTTAAAAAAAAAAGTTGTCAGAGGGATTTGCCTTATAGCATTCTCTAAAGGGAGGGGCTTTGATTTCTTGACTTTGTTATCAGGAGTAGAAAGTTGTGGAACAAGTATTTTCTTCCCCTTATAGAATGAGAGAGGAGGGAGTGAGGTTAGGGAGGGATTCCACCTTGACATAACTTTTGTCTTTCTTCCAATCCTTTCTTAGGCCTGTTTCCTTGGCTTTGAAGTTGCCATGAAGTTCCTCAATTGGGTCACCCCCAATTTGTGAGACTGAAGGCTTCTCCAGACATCTGGATGTTGTAAACTGTTACAGAGGGGGATCAGTGAGCCGGACTGGGAAGTCCCAAAGGGTGAGGGGGAACGGGGATGATGAGATCAGAGCTCTAGGTGTGGGCTTGATGAGACTGTGGCCTTAATAACTTGATATGCCATTTTGAAACTTGAATTCATTCTTGTCAATTTAAGGAGTCTCAAGACAATTTGGAGATTTACATAGGTAAATAGCTTCTAAATCTGCTACCATTTATAGCCAGAGTGCTATCTACCTCTTTACTGCTGGCATTACTACTTACATGTTTTTGACCAGCTGACATCCTCTTTAATTTCTAGGGCACCATCTGATCCAGTGATGCACATAAGAATGTGGACTTGAGGTTCACATCTCTTTGATCATGTGGACTGGGCATGTGTACATGTGGGCAGATAGGTTGTCTACAGTTGGGTTTAGTTTCTTTATGCATGCAAGTAATCAAGAAGTAAAACTAGAGTGTACTGATTTCCCAAGAACAGGTGGAGAGTGAAAACAGTTTTCAATAATCAGTCCCAGCTTGCTGGGGTAAGTGAGAAAGCCCAGGGTGTAGGAAGGCTGTTTTTTGCACATTCTTCCCTTGTGAAAGCACCCTATTTTAACAGGAATCAATAAATACTGTCTCTAATTTTGTAGTGTGTGATTGTTTGTTTCTTTTGACTCTGGACCGTTTCAGTAGGCAGCCTGTGACTTTAGTTGTTTGTCTGGGACCTAGTATCCTTCCCTGGGAGCCTCAGGCAAAGGATTACAACTGAAGAAAGTGGAGGAAGTACGAAACAGCCCAGCCTTCCCCAGTCCCTGCTGCTGGAGGGAGACTGGATGGGGCTTGGTTACTTATCTGTAACTGTCCCTAGTGCAGGCCTGACATGCAGGTCCTCATGAAGCCCAGCCTGCCATCTGTACCTTCATTCATTTCCCTCTCTGCCATCAGCCACCGGGATGTCTGTTGTCCTGGAAGGGCAAAAGCAAGCCCAAGTTATTCATATGTGGACTTTGAGGTCACCATAGGATCTTATGTCATCATCTTCCCTTTCTTAGTCAAGCCAATGAATGATGATATCCAGGTATGGTCAGAGTGGAGAGTCCTAAGCCAAGGCATCCTTGCCTTGTGGAGGGCAGGACCTGCTGCAGCTACTAGAACCGGATTTCTCTGTCGTCATCCTCTGTATTGCTGTCAGTTACAGTTCTGCTACCACTTCCCATCCCACTACAGTGACACAGAGCCCCTTGGACTTTGGCTTTAGAACCACCACTGTGTAAATAGGCAAAGGGAGTTGGGGGTGTGACTTACCTGGTGGAAAGCTAAAGATTTGGGGGCTTAAGGAAGGAAGTTTTATTCTTTTTTTAAATGTTTTATTGTGAATTATGTGATAGTTTACATGGGAGAACATTAGCTTTACATTCATCCTGTTGTATATCGTTTCATTGTCATGGTTACTATCCCCTCCATGCATCATCAACCAACCAAAGGGTAAACCCTGCAAGCCTGGCCCCCAGTCTTCTCCCTCTTTGGGTCTAGGGTCCCCAGCCGTTCCATCTCTCCACATCCTTGTCTCTGCCTCTATCTCTGAAATCACTGCTTCTCTGGGGAGGGTCTCGTTCTCCACTCTTCTCCCTTGATGGTTCTAGGGACCTCCGCTCCTGGATTGCATAGTCAATCACTCCCCTCCTTTTGCTACAAAACATCTACCTTTACATTTCCAACCCTCACAGTCAGCCCTGATAACAATTATGCACCATTGTACCACAAGAGTCCTATCCCCATCTCCTTTCATCAGCCCAGACAGATTGGATACTACTCAGTGGAGATTCTACCTTCCTCCACACCCTCTGGTTCTAGGCTCCTTCTTGAAAGCTTGTAAGCCAGTCACTACTTGGCTTTGTAGCCCCCCATTTCAGGTAGCCAATGTCCAAGTTGCCCATCCCTGTCTATCCTGTGTACCAAGGGGGTGGAAATGCTCCTTGTTGTAAAGATTTATTCCCTCTTTTGAGCTACCGTATCCATAGGTGTAGGTCAGGTTCATCAAGTTGTATCAGATTACTCTTTTTTGCCTCTTCTTTCTTCTTCTAGTTGAGTGCTGATCATCCAGTCATTGAAGCCAGGTCAAGTGGGTATTATCTGCAAGTGTGGGTGTTCTTATGCATATGCCCTCTCTTCTTATCAACTGGACACTTCACTCTCCACTCTAGTCCTCTGTGGCTATATCACTGACTCTAGGCCCAAGAATCCCCAGGTCTTGCCACACTGCTGACTAACCAAGTCTCTACCCGGGTTCACAGAGTCTATTGAACGTTGTAGGGCTTAGCTTGCAGCTTCATTGCTGTTTTTCCCTTACTTCTCCTTATTGGTGATGAACGTGGTCATCAATCAGAAGGAAGCTTTATTCTTGAGAAGCTACTTCTAGATAACCCAAAAGGAATCATAACCAAGTAGCAAATAACATTTTTTTTCAAGATGAAAATGGTGTACCCTCTGCCTGGGAAGGTTAATCCAGTGCTAATCCTGTAATCTTGCCCTCCCTCCCCCATGCTGGGGGATGTCTTTGTTTAAATCGTTCACTGATTGGAAGATGGCCACACATATGTGTCTCCTGAAACTTTCTTGGCACTACCCAGTCCTTAGACTGTGATGAAATCTTGGCCTTTGCCCGAATCCCTTGTGAGTGCATTTGCATTCCAGTCAAATGTCAGCCTTTTCTCATGGCTCAGGTTCACTTTTATAGTCTGTTCTTCTGGTTAGTTTGCCCTTTGGAAGATATTCCATTTTAAAATGGTATGTTTTGGTACCTTGATGTTAGTGGGGGTAGATTATTTTCCTCTTTTGAGTGTTCAATAGATGTTAAATTAAATAGGGAAGCCCCTGGAGGCATATTTGTGAAGGAAGCAGAGCAGATGGTGACTCCCTCTGGTTGGCGCTTCCTCTTTACCATGCACTTTGAAATGCCACCTGTTCCTGATATATCTCTTCTCTCTTATATGGGGGCTATGTGTATTTTTTGGGGGGGGGAGAGGGAAGGTTGTCTGTGACAGTCACAGACAAAACTAGATGGTGATTGTTAAAACAACCAACCAGTGATAACTGCCTCACCCAGATACACAGAAAGAAAAACTGGGGCAAAGGTGAGGGACAGAGGGCAGGTTGTTGCAATAACAGCCTGTTAGAAGCACAGTAGCACCGTTTTTGCTGTAAAGTCATACAATCTCCACCCCACAGTTCTTTCCCTGCAGCCTTTTGAGGCTGAAACCCCAACACAGATAACCTTTTTTAATGGCCTGTTGGGTTCCTTATCTGATTATTCCCACACAATTCAACATTTAACAGGTGGGAATTTTTGTCTTATTTTACAGATGTGGAAGCCAAGCCTCAGAAAGGTAAACTGATTGCCAAGGTCACTTTGGTAATAGAGTTGTTGTTAAGTGCCAAGAAGTCATTTCCAACCCATAGCAACCCTGTGTAGGGTTTCTGAGGACCAGCTGGTGAATTTGAATGGCTGACCTTGTGATTCAAACCGATTTTGCAGTCCAGTGCATTAACACAAAGCGCCACACCAGGACTCCTGGTAATAGAGTGGATACTGGTGTATTGGCATCCATAGGCCTGTAAAAGGTCTTTGAAGCTATTGGAAAGTTTGAGGGGTTGCTTGACCTAAGCTCCTGGACACCTGTGTACACTGCAGGGTCAAAGCCCATGTACCTGGCCTGTGAGTGTAGTCAGAGATGGCATAAATTATCCCAACAGGCACTGGCAGGACACTAGGGCTCCCTTTTATCTTTTATCTTTATGGTAAATATCTAGGCCTGTGGCTTCCCAGTCAGGTTCCCCCATGATTCCCAGGTTTTGTCCTTTCTGGGTGTCCCAGAGGTAGAACTTGGGTCCACTGCAGTCTTTTTTTTTTTTTAATTAATTAATTTTTTTCTTAAATGTTTTATTGTGAATTATGTGATAGTTTACATGGGAGAACATTAGTTTTACATTCATTCTATC